GCTGGGCAGCGCTTCGCACAGTTCCACTAAACATCGCTGACCGCGACTGGTTGGAACCAAGAGTTTACGCTTGAGGCCTGAGCAGTAACACTACAGACGTTTGTGTGTGGTTTGCAAAGGCCACGATGCAGCATTGTTGCGTTGCACCCATCCATCCCTCTCTGTGTCCGCATGCTAACCTCGGGTGACTGCCTGGCCATGATACAGTGTGTTAGCGTAATCTGCCTTGTAAATTGTGAGTCACTGGCCATGATTCAAGTCGCAGATACATTTCCGTGCTGAACAGAGGGGTCCAGACCTGTGCTCTCCAACTTAAAACCATATTTTCAGCGAATAGTTATACAAGCAACTAAGTAAAAAAGCGCACGTAAGTACGCAGGGACATGGATGATGTTTTAAGCAGCACCGACCGAGATGGCTCCTGATAGTACATACACCGGATCTGGGTACGAGGTGAGGGCCACGTTGACGCCTACGACGGAAGGGCGCTTCAACGCGTTGCACTCACCAGCAACGCCACCTCCGAGCGCTCACTGCGATTTACTGCTTGAGAACCATGTGCAGTAGCGGGAACAGAATTTTGAACAGGCAACTTAAAGAATGGATAGTGTAGACAATACATAGAGCGAAGTGGGTGTCGCGCTTGATCCTCAGTTGTTCGGCTTTCAGTGGCCTGGCCTTGTTTGTTTGTCACCCGGGAGCGGAGTCCCCGCTGACCATGTAGCCTAGAATCCTGGATATAAGATGTGCAATGAAGCCCGCAGAGGGGATTGCGATCCACTGACTTGAACTTTGATCACGGTTCCGAGCCAGGAACGTGGATGCTTGGGTACACGATGGCCAGCGAGGAAACCGGACTCTTGGAAACATTTGCGCCAAATAGTCAACGCACCGTTGAGCTCCATCCATGAGCCACTGTAGCAAATTGTAGGTCCGCATCAGCCACTTAAGCGGTGCGCAATCTTGGTTCATGATGAGGCAGGCCTACCACAAGACGTGTTACCTCTCCTCACGTCGCTGTGGCTGGAATAACGAAAGGCTGGTCGTGATGCACGAATTACACGGCAGGCGCCTGCTCTGGAACATAGGCTTCTATTCGCTTCGATCACGTTCTTCAATTGTACGTTGCCTACGCGGCGTGGTGTTTGCTGAGCCTGCTTCAGTCCATGGCAAAGGCCAAACACCAGTAAGGGATTGTATCGATAGTAACGAACATATGTTGCTTCCTCTTCGCAACACGCGTCATCTTTCTGAACTTGATCCCACACAAGCTGGATTGGAGTTGATTTGTACAGTGCACCACGCTTGGCAGTGGGTAATGGCCGTTATTGAAGCCAAACAAGGTGTCGAGTAGATTTCAATGAAGCGCCGCAACTCGTACTGCTCGACACCATCCCGACCCCACATTTTGTTTGCAAACAAGCTGCCACAGCCATTGCCAAAGGTTTGCTGAGGCCCATCACAGTAGTGTTAGACTTCTCAAACGTTGACATGTTTGCAAAAGAGGGAGCGATGCATGCGCAATACTGTAATGGCTAGTCATTACAGTTGATGACTTCATATTAGTAGGTCAAGTATTTAAAGTCGCTTCGTGCCACTGTACCTGCCATTGAGAAGGCCATTTCACTTCTTCCAAGATGCCTGCTCCTGTAGACTTGGTCTTTGTTACGTAGCGACCGCTTAGCATACATACTGACAGCGAAAAAGTTGCACAGCTTCTGCCATCGTCTCAATTGCGATTTCGATGCGGTCAGTTCCTTCCTCGACCGAGACATTTCGTCTCGAGATAAGTTCACAGCCGTGATTTCGAGATATATTTACCAGCCCCGGGTCATGTCTAGTGTCGAGGCCACCTCAAAACCGACACAAGCCGGCTCGGCCATGCCTCCTTGTACATGCGATGGTGAGGTAGGCTCAGAATCAGACGGACATGCACCTAGCCGCTCGCCAATTGCTTCCGTCGAAGCCAATCCACAAGCTTTTGGAGGCGCGTCGCCAATGCGCAAGTCCGTAGAGGCTGATGGCGCTGCTGCCCCCATGAAGCGTAGGATGGATAGCAGAGCTGGACGCATCCCAGCAACCATCGCCAAAGTGGAGAAAACCGGTAGCCCAGAGACTCTCGTACGCCTATGGGACAGCTGCAGGGCATCGAGGGCTCGCGATCAGAGTATTGTTAGTGGGACGCGACAGGTCCTGCCTGGCGAACCGGAAGGTGACTTGGATGGCCCGTCTGTGCTGGAACGACTTGATTCCCTCAGAGAGCAGGCGGCTGCAGCTAGTTCAAGCATTCACTTTTCCATTGCTATCAAGCGCTATCATCATACTCAGATGGTCCACTTATACAACAGGGCGAGAGACCTAGACGAGACGACGATTGAGGCGGCAGATCCAGGCAGCGCCTCCCAGTCTCTGGTTGACCAATTTGCCGAGAGGCTTTTCCCCAGCGCCTCATCAGTCGAAAAGCAGGCTGGTCGGGGGCCGAAGCTCAAGAGGAAGCCGCTGAAGAGCGCATTCAATAGGTGGCTGACCCTCGGGAATAAGCTAACCACACTAGTTGCCAGGTACGGGTGCGGGGTCCTTCTACTCCTACCGAGCGATTTGAGGAATGAAGAGTTAGTGCACAGTGTCGTCTGCTTGGTCAGGTACTAACTCCGTTTGCATTCGACGACTTCGTGATGGTGATCTCCTCGCGGTGCTGAACCGGTTAGATACGCATGTCCGACTGAAAGACAGCATCCAAGCCCTCACAGAAGTGCTTCTCAGTCTGGTCACATGGGGCATCCTGCCCGTGGCGAGGATTGGCTTGGAATCGTATGCCTCTACGTCGCAGGTTCGAAAACTGGCTTCGGAGCCTATGTTTCTGGGGGGCCTATTATCTTGGTGTGCTGTCGCAGCATCCGAACTAGACCTCGCGCTGTTGACGCAGCCAGCTCTCCATTCGGCGACTGAATACCGCGACAGCACGGCCGAGGTGAACAACCTTTCATTCCACGCCGACGACTGATATTCGTGTAGCATTGGCCAATATAGGAAACATTGCCAAAAAACATAAGTGATCTTCATAGAGAGAGCCCTCGACCTCACTCTAGAAACCCCTGCCAACTGGAACTCCTGAAAATCGTCAAAGCAAGACATGACGAAAGCTCTGGAGGAGCCACTGGTATTAGTCGAGACAACATCGCCATGAACTGCCTACGAGAGTATACTGCGTCTATAGGCAAGCGCTAGAAGACGCCGATTTTGTCCTTGTTACCGAAAAGAAAGGGACACCTGGTCACGTCGTAGACATCTGCCACTTTCCGCAATTATCTGCGCAGCAGACAAAGATGCTTCAGTTGGTTCAGCACCCGAACATCGTCACGGTTCATGAAATGTATAGCGACAAGGCGAATCGTCACGTCGCCTACGGACGCATGCCACGATCATTGCAAGAGGCCGTCGATAACCTATATCTAAATTGTCAACGCCTAGCACCGATCTCATGACAGGTCTGTCCAATCCTCCCATGAAAGCCCATTTTGTCTCACAGGTAAACATGCAGTCGAGGCACTGGTTTATCTCGAGAGAGTAGAGTCGCAGCACGGCCAACGTAGCTGCTCTCAGAACGTCTCTTGTTGTTGATCATCGAATCAATCATGACGCTTCATGACGCTGGACGTTGAGTGTGGAAACCCAGTCTAAATTCCCTTTTGTATGTACTTACTAGATAAACCGGAGCCGGTTCTGGATTTGTGCATTCTCTCCAAGCATACCACTAAGCCGGCCTCCCGACATCATTATCGTGCTTCCAGATCCACGTACTCAGCAGCTTGCGCCACCATCCACGGCCGTATATGTGTGTTCACCCCGTCTAAGCCGCATACGGCTCTATCTTCTGTCTGATACTTTTCAAACACTAGTAGACAGTCTACGTCTACTCATCGGGGGCAGCAGACCAGGGTCAAACGGATACTTGCCACACTAGGCTAGCGTCCGTACAAACGTGAGGTTGAATGAGTCTCGCGGAGCGGGCCGGGGGGGTTGATTGAGTACGCTTCTGGCTTTTGAGCGTACAGTACTCCGTAGGTTCAACCTTGATATGATTTAGCCGAGACACATGTGGCCTTGTTAAATACCGACAGAACGAAATTGCTTGGATTTATGTACCAATGTCCCCGCTGAGCCCACAAAATGAAAGGTAAACCGTTCAGTCAGAAACCGAAACCCAAGCTACTACATCAGCGAACCGTGGCACATCGGCTACGTAACTCGGAAAAAGTATGTACTGCGACAACCCAGCCATACTGTACTGGCCTCTATAGGCATTTGTTCGGATTGCTCTCAAAAAAAATATTCAGCGAGTTCAATGCTACTACAGTAACGGGCCTATTGACCCCGGATGAGATCGTCTGGACACAAGACTATGCTGTAGCAGTCACAGTGTGAGCGTCACAGCTCCAGAGAGTTGGGTTGATGGTTGATATGTACAATAGATGGATTGTAATGACCCGTAGTGTCGGGTCTAGATACGTCCACACAAGGCGTAACGCGAAGAAGAGAAAACTGAA